CCCATTTCATTCCTTCCCCCCATTTCATTCCTTCCCTCCCATTTCATTCTTTCTCCTTCCCCCCTCCCATTTCATGACTGCCTGCCTGCCTGTGTGTTTGTGTCTCTGTGTATGACTGTCTGCCTGTGTGTGTATGACTGCCTGTGTGTGTGTGTTTGTGAGTATGACTGCCTGCCTGTGTGTGTGCATGACTGCCTGTGTGTGTGTGTATGACTGTCTGCCTGTGTGTGTAGTGTATGTGTATGACTGCCTGTGTGTGTGTATGACTGCCTGTATGTGTGTCTGTGTGTATGACTGTCTGCCTGTGTGTATGTGTATGACTGCCTGTGTGTGTGTGTGTGTGTGTGTGACTGTCTGCCTGTGTGTGTCTTTGTGTGTGCATGACTGCCTGTGTGTGAGTGTGTGTCTGTGTGTATGACTGTCTGCCTGTGTCTGTGTGTGTGTGACTGTCTGCCTGTGTGTATGTATGACTGTCTACATGTGTTTGTGTGTGTGTGTGTGTGTGTCTGTGTGTATGACTGTCTGCCTGTGTCTGTGTGTGTGTGACTGTCTGCCTGTGTGTGCACACTGTCTGCCTGTGTGTGTCTTTTGTGTATGACTGCCTGTGTGTGTGTGTGTGTGTCTGTGTGTGTGTGTGTGTGTGTGTGTGTGTGTGTGACTATCTGCCTGTGTGTGTCTTTGTGTGTGCATGACTGCCTGTGTGTGTGTGTGTGTGTGTCTGTGTGTATGACTGTCTGCCTGTGTCTGTGTGTGACTGTCTGCCTGTGTGTATGTATGACTGTCTGCCTGTGTTTGTGTGTGTGTGTGTGTGTGTGCGAACTGTCTGCCTGTGTGTGCGTGACTGTCTGCATGTGTGTGTGTGTGTGTGTGTGTGACTGTCTGCCTGTGTGTGTTTGTTTGGATGTCTGCCTGTGTGTGTGACTGCCTGTCTCTGTGTGTGTGGATGTCTTCCTGTGTGTCTATGGCCATCTGACTCTGTGTGTGTGTGGCCGTCTGACTCTGTGTGTGTTTGTGTGTGGCTGTCTGCCTGTGTGCATGTTTGTGTCTGTCTGTGTGTGGGTGTGTGTGTGACTGTCTGCATGTAAGTATGTGTGTGTAAGACTGTATGTGTGGCTGTGTGTGTGTAAAACTGTATGTGTGGCTGCCTGTGTGTGTGTGTGTGTGTGTGTGTGTGTCTGTCTGCCTGTAATTGTGTGTGAGTGTGTTTATCTACCTGTAACTGTGTATGTGTGTTACTGACTATACTTGTATGTTTCTGCCTGATCCTGTGTATGTGACTATCTGCCTGCGACTGTGTGCATGTGGTGGATTTGACATTGTATATGTATAACTGTGTGCATCTGACCGTGTGCATAAAACTCTGCAAAAATATACACCTGCATTCACACAGAGGCTTAAATGCATTTTTTTATCTGAATTAAGTAACCATCACACACAGCCAATAAACCCAGCACAAATATCACATACAACCAATACGCACATATCACACACTGTTAATACACCCATTACAAATATCACACACAGCCAACACATAGCATACATATCACACACAGTCATCACACCTACTATCACATACAAAGACAACACAAACATTACATCATACATGGATGATGGGGGGGGCGCTGTGAAGATTTTTCGCACAGGGCGCCTAAAGGCCTAAGGCCAGCCCTGAATACTAAGTTACATAGTTACATAGCTGAAAAGAGACTTGCATGCATCAAGTTCAGCCTTCCTCACATATGTTTTTGCTGTTGATCCAAAAGAAGGCAAAAAAACAGTCTGAAGCGCTTCCAATTTTGCAACTAACTAGGAAAAAAATCCTTCTTGACCCCAAAATATCAGTCAGATATATCCTTGGATCAAGCAGCTATTACCGCACTAATTAGAAATTATATCCCTGTATGTTATGTTTTTGTTACGTTGACTTACCATGCTTGGCTGTGAGGATATTTATTCATGCAAAGAAACATTAAGAAAAAAGAATCAGCAAACTAATAGAAGTCCCTGAATTATGGCATATGTTCACATGCCTCCTAACAATCCCACTTTTGGTGGGACAGTCCTGATTTTGGAGTCTTGTCCCTCTGTTTCACTTTAGTTTCCAGATGCACCAATACAAAAAGAGGACAAGAAATGGTGGAAAATATACAGCCACATCCAAAACTCTTTAAACTGTTTTGTTTTTTTGTGTGTTTTTTTTAACTAATAAAGGTTCTCAAACTTTATCATACATGAACTTCTGCGGCTTCTATTTTCAATGTAATCTACTTCCTGGTTGAATTTGAAAGGGTATAAGGCACCATTGAATATGCTTCTTGGAATGCATATTGCACTTGCTCAAATTTCTTTGGGAATTATCCAAAACTTAACATTCTTTAACCTTGATTTTCTTTGAATCAGAATCAGAAATTATAAAATTCTATTAGAAAAAAAACTTTTCAAATGATCTATCTACTGAACTCATAGAAACATAGAATGTGATCAACCCATCTAGTCTGCCCAATTTTTTTAAATACTTTCATTAGTCCCTGACCTTATCTTATAGTTAGGATAGCCTTATGCCTATCCCACACATGTTTACATTCCTTTACTGTGTTAACCTCTATCACTTCAGCTGGAAGGCTATTCCATGCATCCACTACCCTCTCAGTAAAGTAATACTTCTGGATATTATTTTAAAGCTTTGCCCCTCTAATTTAAGACTATGTCCTCTTGTTGTGGTAGTTTTTTGTCTTTTAAATATAGTCTCCTCCTTTACTGTGTTGATTCCCTTTATGTATTTAAATGTTTCTATCATATCCCCCCTGTCTCGTCTTTCCTCCAAGCTATACTTGTTAAGTTCCTTTAACCTGCAATCCATGAACCAGTTAAGTAGCCCTTCTCTGAACTCATGCCATTGTACAGAACACTGGTGAGACCTCACTTGAAGTATTGTACGCAGTACTGGAGACCGTATTTCCCGAAAGATATTGATATCCTTTCTAAAGTATCAATATCCTTCGGGAAATACGGTCTCCAGTACTGCGTACAATACTCCAAGTGAGGTCTCACCAGTGTTCTGTACAATGGCATGAGCACTTCCCTCTTTCTACTGCTAATACCTCTCCCTATACAACCAAGCATTCTGCTAGCATTTCCTGCTGCTCTATTACATTGTCTGCCTACCTTTAAGTCATCAGAAATAATCACCCTAAATCCCTTTCCTCATATGTTGAGGTTAGAACTCTATCAAATATTCTGTACTCTGCCCTTGGGTTTTTACGTCCAAGATGCATTATCTTGCACTTATCCACATTAAATGGCAGTTGCCACAACTCTGACCATTTTTTTTTAGTTTACCTAAATCATTTCCCATTTGACTTATCCCTCCTGGAACATCAACCCTGTTGCATATCTTAGTATCATCAGCAAAAATACATACCTTACCATCAAGACCTTCTGCAATATCACTAATAAAAATATCAAAGAGAATGGGTGGAAGTACAAATCTGTACTTGGACACATTCTCTTTAATATTTTTATTAGTGATATTGCAGAAGGTCTTGATGGTTAGGTATGTATTTTTTGCTGTAAGCTCACTGTAAAAGTATATGGAAATTTTATAGATAGATCATTTTGAAAAAAAATAAAATCTTCCAGATTGTGATC